GGTAAAAGAGGACAGGTTTGCTTGCTAGCATTGCATGAATTAGAAATATTTTTTATCTTCATAAAACTATCAATGTTTCTCTTTCTTTAAATATGTATATATAATAATTTGCTTAAAAAATAAGGATCTAATAAAAGGGCTAGATGGTGGAAAACAATTACCACTTGAAAATCCAATTAAGAGTGACTACTTTTGCTTCTGGGTGAAAGCTTCCATTTAGTATCATATCTACATACTTTCTGCATTGGAAGAACCAATGTATTTAATTAAACTTTTCTTTTTGGCAGTTTCCCCTTGGTATGACAATATTTAAGGTACATGGAAGAGTGATAGGATTTAAAAATGAAACAACTAGTTTGTGGTATTAGTTATGGCTATGTGTGTACGTGCACAAAAATGCTATTGAGGGATTTATTTTACCAGCTCAAATGGTGTCGGGTAAAGAGTTTGAGACTACAAGGATTTTCTCATTATTGAAATAACACTTATTCATTATAATCCCTGCTCAATAACTAATGTGATTTCACAAGATTTATTATAAGAAAAATAGAGAAAAACCTTATTAAATTAATATTGCCTATCCAAACAATTCATCCTGATATAGTTTGACATCAGGATATTAGAATGAGAAGTTGATGGGCCATAATCTAACTTTGGTTTTAAATTGGAATGTGAATAAGACAGGCACAGCAAATTGAATTCTGGTCTAAGCTCCATTTACTGATTGTGTTCTGTAAATTATGAATTCAAGTTTCTCAGTCTGTCTGGCATAAAATCCATATTTGTGGTATTGATATATAGCTAAAAATAAGCCTGAATAATCCAAGTACAGGTGGTCCTCAACTTTCAACAATTTGTTTAGTGACTAAAGTTACAATGGCATTGAAAAAACGGACTGACTTGTCCTCATACTTATAACCATTGCTGCATCCCCATTGTCACATGATCAGAATTTGGGAGCTTAGCGACCAACATGTATTTACATGGTTGCAGTATCCTGTGGTCATGTGTTCACCATTTGTAAGCTTCCCAGCTGGCTTCCAACAAACAAAGTTAATGAGGGAAGCCAGAATCACTTAATGACTGCCTGATTCACTTTACAACTGCAGTGATATGCTTAACCATGGCAAAATTAATAAAATTCACTTAACCACCACTTGCTTAGACACAGAAATTCTGGTCCCAGTTGTAGCTGTAATTTGATTACCTGTACATACATAGTGTCAAGTCCTCTTAGAGTTTTTGTATCATCTGTAACGCCTATATTAAGATTTTTGCAATTGGCTTTGATTTTTACAAAAGATTTCAAATGCACTTATTTTGTGTGCTATGCATTTTTACATATGAATTTTTTAAAAATGGTCTGCATTATTAAGCTCAGTCAGGCAATTGTTTTATTGTACGTTTTTATATAAATGGGCAATTTCTTTTTACTACAGATGAGTAACACAATACAATTAACCAAAGCAAGCTTATCTGGAACAGTGGTTAACTGTATTGACTTTCTTCTTTGTAGACATCCCGCTCTAAATGGTCATTCCTTTCTTAATTAAGAAAACTTGTTATTGGTGCTCTCAAAAGAAGCTTTAAAAACACTAAAAACAGTTTATACATGAGTCATCAAATATTCTCCAGAAGTACTGGACTTCAACTCTCGTACTGTAAATGTCAGCTAGTATATAGCAAAAGTGAGAGCCAGTTTGATGTAATGGTTAAGGTACTAGGCTAGAAACCAGAGATTGTGAAATCTAGTCCTGCCTTAAGCATAAAGCCAGCTGGGTGACTTTAGACCAGTTATAGTACTCTCTTTTAGTTTAGAAAGAAGGCAATACAAACTACTTTAGGAAAAAAATGCCAAGAAAACTGCAGAGACTAGTTCAGGCAGTTGCCAAGAGTCAGCTCAAAGACACAAACATATCGCAAAAGATCATGCTGGTTGAGAATAAATTGTAATTTACTTAGATTGATGATGTTCAGGACATTGCTACTTTGAAATTCATTCTGTTTTACCCATTGATGATCTCTGTGCTTCATGGAAATGCTTGGACTCATTAAATTGCATTGAAAAATAAGCTTAACATGATACAAGTGCTATCAATGTCATTCAGTAAACTGTTGGGAGGAATACTGAGATTACTATAATCTACTGTGTTCTTGGGAACATTTTTGGCCTAAAATATAAATTCAGATGGCAATGGGCAACCATTGTTTTCTGTTAAATGGAGTAGAGTTAATGTTCATATGCTTATGTAGTCCCTAGCCCAGGGGTAGGCAATCTTGGCTCTTTTATGACTCGTGGACTTCAACTCCCAGAATTCCTGAGCCAGCCAAGCTGGCTCAGGAATTCTGGGAGTTGAAGTCTACGAGTCATAAAAGAGCCAAGGTTGCCTACCCTTGCCCTAGCCCAAAGCAATATCTTTCCATTCTTT